GGAGTGGCGATAAGGTACCGCCTTGTTTTAGATCATTCTGGATAGGAAAATATCAGACAGAGTTTCCCTATATGGACTTCACCATACATTTCATTTAAACACATTTTAATCAGCCTAACTAATTTCATGGTTAACCCAAACCTCTTATCAGAATATTGTACAGTACTTCCCTCCTAACTGAATCATAGGCTTTCTTGAAGTCTACGAATAGCTGATGTACTTGTACTGTCTTATTGTACTCCCATTTTTTCCTCCAGTATTTGATGAATGCAAAAGATCTGATCAGTTGTTGATCTGTTACATCAAAACCCACACTGATGATCCCCAACAATTTCATCTACATATATGGACTTACCTTGAGAGAAGGATATTTGATAAAATTTTGCATGAAGTTGAAAGCAGTGATATCCTGCGATAGTAGTCAGTATTATCACCTTCTTGTGAACTGGTACAATAATAGACTTCTTTCGCTGATCAGACGAAAGACTGAATCAGACAGTTATAAGCATCCTTCAAATTTAATGTAGTACTTCCCTCCTATTGTTTTCTTTTTCCTTTGTTTTCTTTTTCCTTTTTCTTTGTCGTTGATGCTGTTGCTGTAAGTGAACTTTTAATATTTTACAAATTCACTGAGTTAAAAATCAGATTTCACTTGTCATGTAAGGGACCATTCAGCAGTTGAAGCCCTACTGAGGCAGAAAGAGGCATGATTAAGATTCTTTCATGCTTTCTGCAGAAACATCATAAAATTGAGTTTACTAAATCCTTAAACTTACCCTGTTGTTTCAATATTCTCTTGATGTCAGTCACTTTTACTACTGCTTCCTTGTAAACCTACAGCACTGTGAATAACCAGGGCAGGAGAGAGTGGATCCTCAGGAGTGGGGTAGAGTGCACAAGAGAAAAGAAAAATTTCACCAGCAATGCATACTGAAAATCAAATGGTCCATATATTATAAATTAAAATAAACATAAGTATTTATCTCCATTTGATTATGACTAGAATTATCATCGTTGGTTAAGCAAATGTAGTAAGATGACAGTACACTGCAATGACTAGATGATACACATGATCTTGTGGCCAGATAATGAAGTTCTGGAGAACTGAATATCTTCAATAATACATTTTGTTGCTACAGAGAAACTGTAAAATTTAGCACGAAATCTAGCCAGTTGGTGTGTAACAGCCAAGATCTATGTATTTATACACTATACACCTCACAGTAAAATATGTTTGGTAAAATGGTTTTAATTTCAAACACATTTCATGAAAAGTTAAAAATGTACCTTTGATTTCTTAATTATATTAATTAATTTTCTTCTGGTTGGACTTATTCTGCTTGTTCCATCAACCCTCATTCCATACACACACGGATATACGTATAAAATCCAGGTCTTTCTGGAACAAGCTATATTTCGTTTGCCAGTGGGTTTATAACATAGTGTTATCTTTGGTAATGTATTTCTCTGCATTCTTTACGTACATTTTTCCTAATTCTCTTGATAGTTATACAGGCCTTCATGTGCACTTTGAATTTGCAGTCTTCCCCTTGTATCTGTAATATTCATTTGGTGGCCAAATTTTATAAATACCAGCAGCTGTTTAGGATATTTGAACTATTTGAACTGCCGACACGAGCATGCCTTCTGTGGTGTAAATAAGATGAAGTTTACAATGTTCTCCAGAATTTGATGGAATAATGCCTTGTAATTTTTTTCTGTCCCATATTTGTGCCTCACTGTGCATTTGTGCATGGACTAACTGTCCTGCTTTTTTATTAATGCAAATATGTGTTAATTTCAACTGCTTGAAGGAGATGAATGTACAACTTAAAACTTTGTAATGAAATATTGTACCTGGCCACAAGATAGACAGAGCCAGTATTATCCATTTGGTGTTTCTGAAAGAAACCCCTTATCTTTGTTTAGAAATAACCTAAATTGTGCGGAGCCCACAGTAACAAAAATCTATTAAAACTAATATACAAGCCTGGTTAAACTGTCTTTTAATTATAATGAAATCTTTGATTCTATCCAGTAAGGAATGTGTTCTGTTAGTTATGTGTGTGTACATATCTCAACAAATCTGTGTTATTTATCACATCTACCCATGATGATGAAGACAGGCAATCTCCAAAATATCAGAATCTTATTTTGTACTAAAGCATCTGATCACCCTATAAGACTTCATTGTACTCAGTCACAATGAAGTCTCATGACTTTGTACTTTTAAATAATTAACAGAAGCAATAATTATATTACATTGTTTTTGCCTCTCTTTTATGACATAATGAAGTATTATATTTAGGATTGCTGGGTTTCTGAACATCATCCACCTAATCAACTGGGTCCATTAGAAAGAGCTAATTTCAATCACTGGACACTTCTTTAGAACACAAACTTAATCTTACATGTGAATTCCATACCCAGCGCCACTAGAAATTTTGAAACTCACTCATCAGCATGCAACATGTTAGAATGTGGACTGACCACAGCAAAATTCAGACCCTTCCTAAGAACTGTTTTCTCCAAATTGTACATATTTTTCATAGGTCTGGTACACAAGCAGATGGTTTTATTTTAACTGGGAAAACTTCCACATATGGATCTTCTTGCTAATGAAAAGAGTTTCTAAATTAACTTTGCACATTTTTGTGAACAAATATTTTTGTCTTCACTTGCTCAACTAAGAAAGCTCAGTTTTAAAAATCAAAGTTTCCAACTACATAAAAATATTAACTGAGATGGGAAATTTGTTACATTCTGTTGTTGCAATATTTCCAGTTTCAGTTTGAAGAGAAATGAAGTCAGAAGTTTTTGCATAAAGGAGCATATGCTGTCAATACACTAATGAAATTAATGCTATTATTGTTTACAAATTGCTGATTGACTAAACATTCAATATGGATAAATTTCTGAGAATGTGAAAGAAATGCGAAGGGAAGCAAGCCATGTAGGCACATTCATTCTTCTCTCTAACCACTGTGTCATGAAGCTGTCATGGAGGTAATCTTCCACATAGTCTTAACATCAGTAATAGATACATGTGAGTGGTCACCCTCTTGCTCTGACCACCTTCACTTGTAGGATTAAAGTTCTGTACACTCAGTGGTTTAGAGGGTGGATGAGCCTCAGAAATACTTGTAATGTAGTTGTAATGCAAAAAGATTACATACATAAGTTATCAAAATCGACATTCATTTGTATATAAAATGATTTGTTGCTAAATATAAAATGTACTTAACCATTTATAGAAATTACCCACATGATTACAAGTTGTATGAAGTAGTGTTTGTATTTATAATGAGTTTCTTTCAAATTGAATTTGTAAAACTGTGCGACTACTTAGTACATGGAGAATACTGGCTTATGTTGATGTAGCATGTCTCATAAAGTAACAGAAGGTGCAACAGTCTGATTGAATGTCCGCACTCAGTCTCTGGTACTCTTGTTATCACCATGATGAAACACATGATCAAGAAGCCCATAAATTTCCCAATCTTGAAATTATTCTTTCTTCTTTTAAAATTGGTAATTAAAACATCTACCAGAACTTTTGTCACACATGGCAATTATTTAAGAGAAAATGTGATCTTAACACAAGACATAACACCACATTAGATGCTTTGTTTATCTGTTTGTATTGGCCATCAACAATTACAACAAAAAAGACTCATCAACCTAGTCATTTAGTGTCATAGTGCCCACTTGTTGTCACTGGGATCTGCTGGCATTTGAAAGTTTAGCTAACAGACAGGACAAGACTTCATTCACATAAGCCCTACAGCTGAGTTTCTAAGCAAATAAGTGAATGATCTGAGGTTTTTATAGCAAGGAAAATTTATATTGTGGTATTCTGGGTTATGATACTGTGTAGATTAGAATGTTGGCACCAGTGTGTCAGAGGAACATTCTACTCTCATCCTTAGGGTTAATCTTTAGTACTAGTTCCTCAAAAACTCTGGTTCCCTCCTATCCAGACTACACATCATCATAATCCAGAAGACCAAAGTATGAACCCTAAAAATCTTGTCACTGCATATATATCCATTCCAGGTGATAATATGAACATTTATGACTTAAAAATAAGTAACTGATTTGAGCTTCTCATTATTTGGCATTATGCAACTGATGGAAATTGGCTTTCTTCCCTTGACATGAACTGGTTATAACATTGCTTTGCTTGTGTTAATTTTAAACATTATAAATATAGTAGGCTTTTACATAGGTTTTAATAATAACTCTGCTGTCTTCAAGTAATCATTCAGGTAGTCATTTATGATGTGAAGAAAATGCTCTCACCATAAGATCGAAACTTCATTGTCATTTATCACTTCAAAATGTTTTTCCACCTAAAATATTATCTGATTTTTCTAACATTTGCAGCTTCTGTCTGCCTCTTAATTGAATAGCTAGCAAATCAAAGCATATAAAGCAAAGTAGTTGTCATAAATTCTTGCAAGAACCTTCCATTTTCCTGATAGGGAATATATCATAATGATTATAAGTTACATTCCACAACTTTAAAATATTTAATAATTTACTAAGAAATCTCTGATTCCTAACTTAAATCACTGAAAGACTTTTGTGCTGAACTGTAAGCATTTATGGAAATGAAGTATAAATTGTTCCTGCTAAAACTTATTTATTCCTTTAATGTGAAAATTACTGATGCAGATCCTTCAGTGGGGAAACTTTCTTTGAGACAATTTTTGAACTCTACCCCTTTTGTCTTTTCATGAAGATTCTTATTTATATATGTTCCCTCCCATACTACAGACAATGATGGGCCAGGATAGTGTAGTCGATATAGTGACTGGTTGCAGGCTGGACAAGCTAAGGGTTGGAGTTTGAGTCCTGGAAGGGTCAAGAATTTTCTCTTCTCCACATCTCCTATCTAATGGATACTGGGGGCTCTTTCCCTGGGGGTAAGGCGGCCTGGGCGTGAAGCTGACAGCTCACCTCCATCTAGTGCCAAGGTCAAGAAATTGTGGATCTATACATTCACTCCCCCATACACCTTCATGGCATATGCTTAATTAGTTAAGCACAGGGACAGCTTTACTTCTGATACAGACAATGAAGATGTTGGATATGTAACTGTATTGACTGAATTAGGCGTTAGTGGTCCAAGCTCATTTTAATGAGCTGTCCCATCATTATCATTATAATCAACATCATCCTTGTCATCACTTGGAGGGCTCTGATGCCTGATCAAGTCCATATGCAAGTTTTGCCCACAAATTAAAACTTCCACCTCTATCAAAGCTAATTTTTTTTTGGAATGTGAAGAATATCAGAGTCTCAGCCTACCTACAGCGAATATTAAGCTCTAGGTCCTGTCTGGCAGCTAACATTCTCATAATCATCCTCCAAGTAAAACACAAGAAACAACAATACTGGAACAGTGTCTCCTGTACTTGTCAACATTTAGGCATATTCAGGTGGCAGTTGGTAACAGCTTGAACATCAGATGTACTACCATGTTTACAGATCTGTTGATTTTTAGCATGCTTTGCTAAATAAACAAGATTTTATTTATTTTAGGCAAATAGAGGCTAGCACTATATATGCATGAAGATGCATGTTGTGATCATCTGGGTTATGGCACCATGTAGTTTGAAGATTACAGTCTTCTGGGTTGTAAGGCTGTGTACTAAAATATATCACAGGAGCCCCTGCCTTCAATCTTGAAGAGTAAGTGAGCAAGAAGCAGCAAAAGGAAGCAACATTCTTGCTTGGCTTAATATTGATCATAATGTTGGAGGTGATATGTTTCACCAAAACATACAGTTCTCTCTGAAATTTTAAATTATTTTTTATCGTTATTTTTGGGGTGGGGTGAGTATGAGTCCACTTAGTATGTTGGCCCCTAATTGGCTTATTGTACCAGCCTTGGATGACAGATTATGATGAATCTGGAGCAGTTGGTGGAATGATAATTGGCAGGGGAACCGAAGTACATGGAAAAACCTGCTCCTGAGCCACTGTCTCTCTGAACTACATGGTATTACAACCCAGAAAAGAGTAAACATCTTAGTCACCTCTGTCAGGACTTCTTGTCCACCACCATGTAGTTTGGTAGGTGCATACTAACGTTTCAGAGGAAAATATTGTATTCTTCTTCATGGCAGGAGATGGAGGCAGTGTGTTCCTCTGAAATATAAGCAACATCCATCGAGTCTACATTGTGATAGGACATAGAAGACCACCACGATAGCCTCAAATCTCACGTGTAAAGATGATTTTAAAGAAAACACTAAAGAATGTAACTATTTTGGTGAAGGAAGGACACAACTTTTCCTTGAAGAGAAATCCCAGTTGCTCCAAGAGTGACACTGAAACAGATTCTTATGTTTGTGACTGATCAGGTTGATTGCACATGACTAGAACGACAGTGTCTTATAGCTCAACCTTTCACCTAGTGTTGAGAAAGTAGTTCATCCTCCACTATGAGAGGCGGTGGGGTCAGTACTGAGGGGCTGTGCCACCTGCTGGGGGTCCAGTAGAGGCGCTGACCTCACCCAACCAGGAGTCTGGACTGGGTGGGAAATCTGGGTAGCCGTGGGTACTGCTGCTGTTGCTTAGGTCAGAGGCTGGCCCACTGGCCAGGCTTGGATGTCCAGGGGGTAGGTGGGCACCAGGTGGTGGGCCCTGACCTGCAACAAGATTATGGACTGTATTCTACACTAATCAACAGAGAAGTGCATAGCAGTTGAAGTAGTGAAATTAAAGGTAACAGTATCTTGAGATAGACAGCTCAGTGAATTCTGTATTAAAATTGCTTTCTGCTATTAAAGACAAGATTGAAAAATATTTAAGTGTAATGGATTTTCAAAATTTACAAACTAAAGAGAGAAAGAATACAAAGGGACGGGAAGAAAGGAAGAACAAATAAGTCCCTCATACCCTGACTTCCTTGCAACAAAATATGAAGCTATGTTTTCTTTGTTTCCTACAGAATAAAGTAACATTTCCCATTCTTTCTTTGCTCTTCAAAGCAACAAATACAATATATCTTCACAAATGTGTATATCACTGCCAAATTTCAGGGACTAGAATACTGGAGTTTAAAGTAAAAGCCAGTTGTCAACTGCAGTATAATTCTTGTCTATATATACACTACATTACTGAGCCCAGTCACTCCAAATTCATAAAACTGCTGATGCATTTGTTGACATTTCTGTGATTATGAAATGACATCACACAACCAAATATGAGACTTGCCTAAAGTGGTGTAGACGGCAAGCCCTTCCCCTGTGGAGTAGGGGAAGTTGGGGCCTAACGCAGGATGTGGTGGTGTAGGAGAGTGACTGGACGACAGATAGGGTGGCGTTGCAGGCCCCCCATGTAGAGTGAAATGCGGGGCACGACTTCCTGCGCTATGGGGTGATGACCCATCTTGCTCCAGCCCCAAGTTCACCACTGTCCCATAGCTGTCATTGCTGTTCAGGTCTACAGACACAAAGGAACACACAGGTTGTACACCATAACACTTTGGTAGCAGACTCCAGAGAGTCAACACCGCTAGCAACCAAGTCTGCACTGGACATGAAGCTGACTTAATTCAATCTACATTCCGTGCTCATCCATTTTGTAAGATTCATTTCAATGTTTTGCTCCAACATGCTGTTCTAATTTTAAGTGGATGTTTTTAATAGCTTCCCTACCACAGCACTGCAGGCATTTGTCATCTCTGCTGTCCTGCCCACATAACCAGACCATCACAGCTTCATTGACAGTTCTAGTTATTTTCACAATACATTTACTTTAAAACATCACAATTGATATTCTTTTCTCAGAGTAAGAGAACTTGTGTGGTGATTGTTTTAATAATCTAATTTTCACAGTTTAACATCAAATCACAGTACTGAGATCAAAATAACAAAATGTGATCGTGAAAATTTGAACCAAAGAGAGATGAAGTAACAAAGAAATGTACAAATTTATAAAATGGTGAGCTTTCCAATTTATATTCATGGCTTAATATTTTTTGAAGTCATAAAATACAAGAATAGAGGATACTCTGATTTCATAAATTGCTGTAGGATACACTAACTCTTCTCAGTCCAGTAATGTTTTCACTAGCCGTTGCTTGGTGGTGGCTTTCAATGGCAGACATTCCCCTTCCTCTAGGTTCCCTCACTGTCCTCATCCTCAGCTACCACATGCTCATAGCAACAGCTCACAACAACTGAACGCCAGTTGTTATCTAGCTAAATCCTAACTCAAAGTCAAAAGTCAAAGTCGAAGTTATGTTATGACTAACTGTCAGTCAGCCAGTCTGTCCTTGTGTCAAGCCCTGTCAGGATCCCAAGACCAGAAGATGAGTTTTAATGACCGTCGAAGTAAAATTAACTTCGATAATATTGTGGGGTGCCGCCACGGAGCCCGAATGGGTTAGTGATATCAGGGTTGATTTCCTAGGCAACGACCAACGTTCCCGCGACAACTGCTAGGAATCAGAATGCATCTATTGCTATAAAACAGCTAGCAATATTCAAGCAATGAATTGTTTGAAGCATCGTTTGCATAGCAGCGGGCGAAATTAACCCTTCTACAAGGTGTTCCCTATTCAGTCCGAGTGCAAGATATAAAAGTCCAACTGCGAAAGCAGTATGTACAGAATACAGACCCGTCCTCTCGTCAGAGAGGGCGCCCCAGAAGAACAAGACCGTAACTATCAAACAGTAATAAATATCTGGTCGTGAGCCCCAGGAGGGTGCTCGACACCAAGACTTACTGACTGACTGGCCGTCAGTCGCAATGTGACTTTGACTTTGACTTGTTGAGACTAGTTTCAGTTTTGTATTCTCCTTTAGCAGGAGTGAGTTCGTATCTGACAAGGGACCAAGGACAGTTGAGCTCCGAGCAGAATAATTGTGCCTGTAAGTGTAAATTTGACTGTCCAATAAATATTCTTTCAAATACGAGAACCCGCACAAATTTCTTGTCGCGTTACCTAGCAAACCCGCGACAATATTTATGGGAGTCTCTACGGTAAAATGAAATTTTGATACAGAATCTGCAGACGCGCTAGCAGGAATTAACTTAAAATACTTTCTTATCCTGTGACCAACAAAATGCCGAGTTAAAGAAGTCCTCAGATCCGTTTATTGGCTCATTGGTTGCTACATGTCGACAGGCATTCAAACAGTGCGAAGAAAATACGTATGAGTTCCATTACAGCTTCAGCTGTGAAGGCACCAAAAATGAATGTTGATCATCAAAGAACATGATGACCATACCAAATTATATTAAAAGTATGATAATTGGATCAAACGTAATTACGAATTAGGCCTATACTGATGAAGACATCTTGATAATACAGCTATTTTCCATACAATGGAATACAGATTGAAAATGGAACTTATCTGATCGTGTTACATGGCAAGTGTCAATATTATAAATTTGCTTAACTTCTTATATCGTTATATCGCATATTCTTACAACTTCGATAGGATCGAGAACGCTTTAACGACCAAGCTGATTCTGATATAATAATAATAAAAGAGTTTGGTGCGTGTTTGTATGTATCCATTTGCAGAAGGGAAGGACATTGTAACTAGCCGAGCCATGAAATGGAATCAGCCATTCATGGTATTATAATGTAACAGATGGTTTAATCGCATTAGGGATTCATGGAGACGTCCTCAGATTTATATCTGCGACTCTCTGTCTGTTGTTAAACATTAGATTCACCTTACCCTCCCTGTTTGAGTTGTTTTCCCCCTGAATTACTACAGCAGCATAAAAAGTCACGTAAGGGGTAGCAGAGTGGTGACGTATTATTCACCTGACTGACCTCCACATATGTCGCATCATAGCGTGACTGTGGGGTGCCTGTACGTCTGCACCCGAGCATCACACAGGAANCAGATTGCATAATAAATATGGGAGTCTAAAAAAAAAAAAAAAAAAAAATTATATGAGGCAGAATGTCCTGCCCTGCAGTTTTTATCAATAGGCATGATGTAGAATTATTCTTTAATTTACACGTTTTTGCTATAACGCGATTTTGTATTGAACGATAAATGTAAGTTCAACTTGTACTCGTTAACGGGATCTCCAGTACATTCTTCCATAGCCTACTCAGTATATATTTTATTATTATTGTTAGTAGGGTGGGACTAAGTCCCTTGTACTGCGGCCACTTCTGGCCTATTGTACCAGCCCCAGATGATAGGTGAGGGTGATTGTGGAGCAATTGGTGGAATGAAGATTGGCAGGGGAAACCGAAGTACTCGGAGAAAATCTGCCGCAGCTCCACTTTGTACACCACAAATCCCTGGGACCGAACCCAGGCCGCCGCGGTGGGAAGCCAGCGACTAACCGCTTGAGCTATGGCGCGGCCACTACTCAGTATATTTGTAAGGTGTAGCATATTCGACTTACAATATTAGCTTTCTTTTGTTTCTTAAAGAAAGAAAATAGGCTTATATGATCATCGTGCCGCATTTTTATGTCTTTGGATTCGATTTACGAGTCATCTGAACCAGCCGACCGATCTCTTTGGTAATTGGTTCCATTCCCATGTCACTGGAAACCACTCCACTATAATCAGTAATAACAATATGGCCGCCATGGAAAAAGAACATTTTAACTTTTAGGTTTGATTTGCGATAAATAATTTTGTATGAAGACAGATCATAAACATATTAAAACGTGATGAATAGTATGTATGCACTCAAGAATTACAAAGAAGGAAGCAGCGTAGAACTCTGAAATTATAGTCCGTTCTATAAATTCAATGTAGACAGAACACGCCTATAAAATGGCAGCTGTTCGAGATGATCGGATCAATTAGGAGATTCAGCTGGCTTTTAGACTTACTTTTGAATGATGATACTTCAATTCAACTACATCATTTATTTCTTTATGTACTTACTTAGCAGCCCAAAGGCCAATTATAAAGTAAGCACGAGTAAAGAGACAAACAAAACAAACGCACACCAACAAAAGACAAAACAAGGTAACGTGTTACGCCAACCCCGATGCAGTGAGAATATATATATATATGCATTAACCTTGAATACGTTCAACATGTTAATAATATATATAAGTATAAATTATAAAATATGATTTAGAGAAACAGTTCCGGTTCCAGATACATAAACATCCCGACAAACAACAATGGGGCACGCGGTAGTGCAGTTGCTTGAGGCACTATGCTACAAGCCGGAAAGTTGCGGGTTAGGTTCCCGAGGAGGTCACTGGATTGTTTAAATTGACATAATCCTTCCGGCGCACTATGTCCCTGGGGGTCGACTCAGCCTGTAATAGAAAAGAATACCAGGAATCTTCCTGGGGGTAAAGGGCGGCCGACGCGTAAGCCGACAATTTCACGGTCATCTTTGAGCCGATTGTCTAGAAAATGTGGGAACCTCGACGTCTCACAACCCTATGGGCCTCCACGGCCTGTTACAGAGATAGCTTTACTTTTTTACAGAAACATTAATAGCTGCCTAGCACCTAGCAGAAGAACAACTTTTACTAGAAAGACAGACATTGAACACAGAGAACTCTCCGATCTACCGAGTAGGAATTCAAAGGCCAACAGTTTCACAAAATAATTCAATTAAATTTTTCTTATCATTTATGTGCCGAGTCAACAGCCACAAGGCCAATTACGGATACAGCACACTGTAGATACAGGTAATTACATTATGGACAATCACAACATAAAGTCATAGACAAATTGCAGGCAAACACTGGAAAAAGAAAAAGTGAAAAAACAGAAACAAAGATGAAGATAAATACACAAATAATAATAATAATAATAATAATAATAATAATAATAATGGATCTGCAGGACTAGAGCTCTGTGCAGTAGGGAGGTCCGCTTCAGGAGTTCTCCCTGGAACTCCAGATATCTGGCTAGCGACAGTGAGCCGCCACGCGCTGTTGTGAACGCAGCCTCTGATTCCAAAATGTCGGAGAATTACTTCACTAGCTGAGCGACTATTCGCTTCTAAAAATGGGCTCTGCTCCATGAAGTCAGAATTTTTCTTTCGCGTTTTCAGACTTTTGGTTCTTATAAGAAAGTAAGAAGCATCCAAACAGTGACAAAATAGTACATACATACATATGCATACATATATATTTATATTTATTTACATATATATGCAAAGAAACATTTTTAGTCGGAAAAAACGGGCTGGGAAGAGACCATTTGGAAGACCTAGGCACAGACGAGAGGATAAATTTAATAATAAACAGCTAAAGTTGTCCCTGTGATTAACTAATTAAACACTACTCCATGAAGGTGTATGGAGGAGTGGATATATAGACCCACGTTTTCTTGACCTCGGCACTAGTTTGAGGTAGTGGTCAGCTTCACGCCCCTGCCGCTTTACTCCCGGGGAAAATGCCCCCGGTACCCATTCGATAGGAAGCTGGGTGGACCCCAGAGCCAGTCTGGACGACGTGAAAAAGTGAAAATTCTTTATCCTAGCGGGACTCGAACTCCGAACTCTCGGTCGTCCAACCCGTAGCCAGTCGCTATACCGGCTGTTTAAATTTGACAACAACTGCATGGACGTAATCAGTTGCTGTTCAACTGACTACAAGTGGACAATGGAGTCTTACCGTGCGTGTGGCTGAAGTTAGACTCAAGGTCCATCTTATCGTCTTTGTCGTGCAATTTTTCGTGGCGGGGCGAAGAGCCGCCTTTCATGGAGCGGAAGTACTGACTCCAGCGTGTCCGCCCCGCGTCCTTCTTCAGCCGCTTCTCCTTAGCTCTTCTGAAACAAGAGAAAAGACGTAACATCCGCCTGAAGCAAACCTGTCGCTGGCCGCATGCACTCGGTCAGGTTCCTGTTCTAATGACGGTCAGAAATTGACAGTGTTCACAGCCGTGTTTCTGCTTCCCCCATATGATTTATTGGCATGAGGTTCTGGTACCGGTATTTACTTACTTACTCACGGAGCTGAGCCCTTCTTGAGGAGCCGCCAATTCTGCAGCTACTCAAGAATTTATGTTTCTAAATTCATACTCAATCATTGTCACCACGGCACTGCCCTTACTGACGCTGTCGGACATCATCTCCAGATGTGGAAGGAAGCTGGGAACGCTTACTGAATTTGAGAAATTGATTTCGCAAGAGTTCGGTTCGTCATAAAGAAATAACACGTTATAGAATGTTGTACACAGCTCTTGTGAACATGGTAATGAAATTTAGGATTCAATTAAGGGCTTAATTTCTTTACAAGCTTAGCGACTATTAGTTTCTCAATAATTCTGCTCCATGAAGCCAATATTATCCTCAGGTTTATTTTTCAAATATGTCCGTCTCTTCTTCAAAAAAAAATTATATTAAAAGTTAAATATTTTCTTCTGCCTAATAACAAAGTAACAAATAACAAAGCTCTTTCTAAGGGACCCAACAGAGTAGGTATCTTCCCTCACCTGAGGACGGAAACAGATCCAGTTTCCGAAACGTCGTGTTTTTCTTAGTTATTTAGAATCCGGACGATAGATAAAGTCCGAAAACCCAGTATCTCTGTGAACAAAGTAAATGCTTATAGGTGGCGTGGAGGCACAATATAAATATTGTCACTGGTATTAGTGACTAAGACGCGGGTCTGGACTGGCAATAGATTTATGGTATAACTACCAGTGGTAACTACAAAGAATTATAACACTCCAGATTATTGCTAAAACAGTACCACATAAAGTAAAGTCTTCAACACTTCAATTCTAATCTTCGTTTGTAGCCTTCGGAACTCTGTTTATCAGTCCGTTATCTTCGCTACTCTTGTAAGCTTCTCTTGAATCGTGCTGAAGTAACAACTGTACTGCACTGCGCTGCACTCGGCACTACTCTCTCAATTGCCTTGAACGGCTTGGTGTTACTCTGTAAATCTCGTTGTGTACCTTCCGCGAGGACCATATAGAAAACACGACCTGTATTGCTGACGAAACTTGTTTACTGCTCGTTGCCTAACAATTGAAAGCCCTTTGCCTATTGTTGTCCAAGAATTTTTCTTTGCGAGAACATGTTTACCTAGCTGTTCCCTAGCAACGGTTATACCTTACGATATCTTAACTAGAAAGAGATGATTGGTCAGTTTCTTGCTCCAGCCACTTTGTTCCTTGAAAAGATTCCACTGTATCCACTGAACAGAAGTCTTGAGTTTGTTTCCAGAGTCGGGCTGGATTCTTTGGCAAAGCGAAATTTTTGCATATATCTAGACTCGAACCCCGATCTTGAAATCCATAGCCAATGATTTAGCAACTCAGCTATCCCACCGTTGCAACCGCCTTCTTTCAACTGTTTCCTCCTCTCCATGTAATTTTTCTTAGGTCGAGATACTGTGTTTAGCGAAACGTGTTACTTCGGTCATGCTGAACGCCGTAAGCACAGGATCTCTAACGCATAGCATAATATGAGTCCCCTCGTTGGTGTCTCCACCTTATCGTGGTGAGGGGGTTTGAGTATGCCAAGGACCCTGAGAGCTATACCAGCGGTAGCGTAGCTACTGGCAGGGCCTCCCTTGCTGAAGGAGAAAGCTCTAGATCGCATTAAGTGGAGGAACTGTTTTGGAAGAGACTGTGGACTTGTCGTCTGACAGATTATTGATGAATGAATGAATGAATATGAGTAATTCTGAAGCATTCTTTCTGTTTTGTATAATCTGTCTGTAAAACGGCAATGCTTAAGGAAAATGCACACCGAAAACAGAATGCGTTTCGTTTCTTTAAATTTCTTTTCGAAAAATCTGCCTTGCAGATGAATATTTCAAAACGCACACAGGGCTTCATATGGAACCACCGTTACTTCTGTCTAATTTTGAACAAAACTGAAATATATCGAGAAATTTTAGTGTAATTCCCAAAAATCAAATTTCATGAAAATCCATTCCGTGGTTCTAGAGTTGTTGCAATTTAAAGAACGACGGACATACAAATGTGGGATAACATAATCGGTACTGGCTATGGGCTGGAGGACAGAGGGTTCGGAGTTCGAGTCCCGCTAGGTTCAAAAACTTTCTCCACGTCCAGACAGGCTTTGTGGCCTATCTAGCCTCCTATCGAATGGGTACCGGGGGCTCTTTCCCCGGGAGTAAAGCTGCTGGGAAGTGAAGCTGACCACTCACTTCCAACTAGTGCCGAGATCAAGAAAATGTAGATCTATACATCCACTCCCCCATACGCCTTTATGGCATAGCGCTTAATTAGTTAAGCACACAGAAAGCTTTACATTTTTTACTTCTAGTCCGCCATGCGTACAGATATGGTGGCGCTAATAGGCGATTTTTTTTAAACTTTTCGTTATGAAAGCGCCCCCCCCCCAAAAAAAAGTTAGAAGAACACATTGCGTAACATCTTCGGTTCGTCAGTCCTGGCTCCTGACTCTCCGTTATCAATAGTCTGAGAGATTTTCAGTCTATTCTTTCCGTAATAAAAGAGATAAAATTTTACATCCATACAAAACAACACACCAAAAGGCATCCAATTCTGAAGTGAATGGTAGCAAAAATTACCCGAATTGACTCTGATCTCAGTTTCTTCACGCATTTTATGTCTTCCCCACATTATGAAATTTCGCAACAAATTCGGAGAAATTTAACGGATATTTCTATTGTGGTTCTGTTTGTTTTAAGGGCTGCGCCATAGCTCAAGCGGTTAGTCGCTGGCTTCCCTCCGCGGCGGCCCGGGTTCGATGAAGTGGGATTTGTGGTGGACAAAGTGGCGCTGGGGCAGGTTTTCTCCGAGTACTTCGTTTTCCCCTGCCAATCTTCATTCCACCAATTGCTCCACAATCACCCTCACCTATCATCTGGAGCTGGTACAGTAGGCCAGAAGTGGCCGCGGTACAAGGGACTTAGTCCCGTTCTTAATTTCCTCTGCATCCGAGAAACAAGTAATGCAAACAAAAGCAGAGTGATCGCACGGGAACTAAACGTGAATCACAATTATTCCGGTTTTATGGGGAACAGGGGATATAAAATGGCAGATATTATCTGACAGCGTAGTCATTGGCTGTGTTCAGAATTCTAGTTTAATATGTACTATAAGAATTTGCAAGTTGGGGATAAGAGACACGGGTTGATGAATCATATATTGTGTTGAAATATTTGTTTGCAACCCCCACTCCAAAGTAGGAAATTTAGTTTTGCATGACGTATTGCTTGGATGGCATGTTTTCTTGGCATCTCCAAGGAGGCGAAGAATAGTTCCGATGCTATTGGAACCCCGACATCGTATAGATTTGTTCTTTCCATTTGTCTTGGGATACTTTTACTCCTAACTCTCATATCCTCTTCACCCTCTAGCGATTTCTTCCCTTTTCTTCCTGTTCTATTTCAAAGGAGCTGGCGGCCTCGTTTCAATTTGCTGATCATCCCCCATTTTCAACTCACCCTCCTTATACTAAACCACCCCCATTTTTCCTGCAGTTCTCTCTTTAGCGTTCTGGATTTTTCAGGTCCCAAGAGGGGAGAGACGTGCAGGGAAAGGATGAGTGAAAAGAACGAAAACGAGGTAAAAGATAGAGTAATGTTAATGGAAAGGGGGGGGGGGAGAAAGTGACGTATTGAAGAGTAGACCAATCAGGATGCGTGCTCAGACTTGATATGAGATTCTGTCAAAAAGAAGCCATATTTATTCCTGGAACATTTCTGTCTCCTCTTTCTCCCCGCACTGCCGGCTTGATCAATAGCAGGAGGCATGAAATGTCTTGAGGGGGTGGGGACTTCCTCGTGCAGTGCAGGGATGTTGGACCAAAGCCTTACAAGAACGAGCATATAACCCTCCTCTTCCCCATCGCGGGGTCTTGCTCTAGAAGGAAAGCAGAGACATTCTAGATGTGCAGAACACAACATCTTTAATGAGGGAAACTCGTGAACATTTCCAATTAACTGTGGCTGCGTAGCAACATTGTCTGCCAGACGAGCGTATTCTACGTTCATTTATTCAGTTTCTTAAAGAAGCTTTCTACTGTTTACAATAGGCCCATAAGCCTATACCATCTAATGACAGAATGATACATAAATTAAAAAGGCGTGGTTTGGTCTAATTTGAGGCAATATCCCAGAATTTTCCTGGAGAAGCTGGGGGAAACCAAGTAAATCCCAGACAGGATAATTGAAGTCTGGACCCAGAATTGAACTCCGAACCTCTTGAATAAGGAAGCAGGAGCGCTAACTCTGAACTACGACATTAAATAAATTATTCTAAGCATTAAGCTAACTTTATGGAGCAGAGCCTCTCTTGAGAAGCTAACAGTCGCTCAGTTATTCGAGAAATTACTGACTTTTCTGCAGTCCAAGGGTTCATTACTGTATTTCGTCACTGGTACCTATGCTGAGTCACTTGAATCCAATCCACACCCTTCCACCCTCTTTATTTAAATCCATTTTAATATTATCCTACAATCTAGGTTTTCTCATGGGTCTCTTCTTTTCTGGTTCCCTTCATTTTTTGCCATAACTTTTCACTCGCTTCTGATTTCTGCCAAACGTGCAACATGTCCTGCCCATCACACCACCTTCTATGCATTTAACAGTTTAAATACTCGATGTCATCTTCATGTTCTGTATTAGTTTATTTCACGCTTTGTTCGCACAAAGTTCCATGACAGTAAAATGATGACGTCATGGTTACATCTGAGGACGCAATATTTCTATCGGGATTCGTGAGAAATGGACAATTTATTGGATTTCATTTGAGGGAACACAGGCACAAAGTTCTGTGGTGTCTCTCGAGTCGAATTTATAACCCAGCTATCGAGATGCTGAAAAATAGATGGTGGCCAATTAGGTTTAAGAATGTTATATTTTAGCTTCCTGTTACACTGATTCATGTCCATGGTTTATGCTAACCGTCTTACAGTGTATACACTTTTTCACCTTATTCTTCACTTCCACACTACATGTTTCAGCACTAATGTGCCATCCTCAGGTGTCTTTATGCACGTTAAACTATTGTACTGCATGCCACGATGTCTTCATTCTGAAATGACAAAAATCTGTATTCGTCATATAGGACGATGAATTCTAAACAATAAAACTTTTCAGGATTCATCTTACTGCAGTACAACGCATGCAGTAACAGGAGCAAAACACAACACAGAACACGATACACAAATGTATGTAGGAAGAATGCTCACATAAAAGAGGATTGGCGTAATTCGCGTGTTTGAGTGCGACGTAGGATGAATCCTGAAAAGTTTTATTATTTAGAATTCATCG